TTTTCAGTTTTCACATTGTTGTGCAGGAGTTGTGACCCGCTCATTGCTTTGCTTCAGTCCATTCTCTGTGTATTTGCTCTCTTGAGGTCCCAGCACAGTTTTGTAATCAGTTTCAGGTCTGGAGGTTGGCCGGGTCGTTGCTGCACCTTGATTCCTTCCAAAGTAAAATGTCCAAGGACAGATTGTACATGCACAGGATTTTAGGACAAGGTTGAGTTGTTTATGAGCTGTATTCTGCTCAGAACTATCTTCAACAGTTTTTTAATTGCTAGAAATGTTGAGTTGMTAAAAGAGCTGGAGCTCGTTCTATAACTCGTTTTATTCAAGTTATTTTTTTTGCAGTTTTTCATCCAACTTGTACRTTTCTGTGGCCTTTTACAGCTGATTTCTTTTTCTCCTGTCACTATCAGACATTTCTCGAAGCATCCCTTCCCCTTTTACTTTATTTATTTCCACTTGGCCACGTTCCTCCTCTCTCCTCCTCCTCCCTCCTCTCCTCCTGGCCACGCTACGCTGCACAGTGCATTAATAGTGGTATGAAAAATTCCCAGCAGAGACATGGTGGGATTGTCGATGCCAATGACTCAGAACTGCAGGAACAGCGAGTTAAAAGTCTTGGACTCTGCACAGGARCTGTCCCGCCTCGACGACGGAGAGGCGTGGTGCGCCGAACCGACTGTTTTTGCTTTGTAAACGCTGGAATCTTATATTGCAGTAATTGCAGCCTTTCACCTGCCTCACGGGCTCGTTAGACGATAACGATCTGCTTTTATAAATTAAACATTCATGCTCGACGCTTTTATACCWGCAGACTTTTAGAAAACTGCAGAGATTCGTAGGTTTGGAAATTTGCTGAGAAAGCTATAAACATTTTTAACATACCTCTATAATCATTTTTTACTTGATTTTATTTGTTTTTGTGTTAGCAGAGCATATTTTTGTAAAGTTCAGCTAAATTCCCCCYAGCTTTGTCTATATGGAGGTATAATTATCTCGGTTTAACAGAAAATAAAACGGTTTTTGAATMGTTTTTTAAAGTGACATTTAAAAACTGGAGAAGGTTCAAGACTAAAATATGTGAAAAAAAATTAAAGGCCTAGAATTGCTTTAAGGAATGCATATCACCCGTCCTTGTTTCATTGTTGAAGAGTGTTTGTTTGGCACATTTTCCAAAAACAAAAGTCCTACAACCAATAAAATCCAACACCACTCATTTCAATTCAGTTAATTTATAAAGCGCCAAGTCGCAACAAACGTCATCTCAGGTCTCTGTACACAAAAAAAMAAAAAATCTAAAGAAGCCAGCAGMTTGTGTTGAATGTTCACTTCAMCMCAGTCTCTCATCCTGAGCAGCACGTTGGCGACAGTGGAGAGGAAAAACTCCCTTTTAACAGGAAGAAACCTCCAGCAGAACCAGGCWCAGGAAGRGCGGCCATCTGCCTCAACCGTCTGGGTTTGAGGGGACAGGAAATAGAGACAGAAGGGCTGGTCTAGGTGTATTTTCTTCTGGAGGAGAAACAAAGAAAACATAACGATAGAAATAATTACAATAAACATGTAGAGACTAAAGATAGCAGCAGAGTGAGGAAATGTGGTCCGTTTGTTCTCTAGCAGTCTAAAGCTGGAAACATACTCCCTCCGACGCCGACGGGTCGACGCGCCGTCACGTGGTTGTTCGGCAGTCGTTTTCACGCAGACCTTTCATAGCTCCTGGGACACCCCGCGCCGAGCTCGGGAAACCCCCCTCCCGCTGCAGCATACGTCACTGCATGGAGTTTCTCCCCGCTAAAGCCGACAATGCATAAAAAAGAAGTCAGACTTGTCACTCACCCGATGTATTTATCCACGTATCCTGGTTTAGCTCCACAGTTTTTATCAGTCAAATTCCTCTGTGCGCAACGTCTGTTTAATCTCCATTCATGAGTTTTTCACAGTTTGACTATCTTTATAAAACTCAACAGTCGGCTCTGGGAGTGGTTCGCTTTTTCTTTTTAACCGAGTGGTTGAAGTAAATGCAGCGTCCGAGTGCTAAACACGCCCAYGAACTTCAGACCAATCACACATTACCATTGTTGCGGGAGGGGGGGTAAAAAGTTCTGCTGGCGGGTTGTGCCAAAAGGGGCAGTCGAGCAGACGCTGCGAAGCCAAGTGACGTAATTTTCGTCATGAAACTGCACCAACCCGTGCCGACATCGGCAGTTCAGAGGGAGTATGGAGAAGGCTTAAGTCTATAGCAGCAGAAGTCTTCAGTCTCTTAAAAGTGTCCAGAGTGTCAGCCTCATTGACAGAAACTGGTAGTTGGTTCCATAAGAGAGGAGCTTGATAACTGAAAGCTCTGCCTCCCAACTCTAAACTTTACACCGTTTTTGTTTACATTTCATGAAAACAAAGTGTCGTTTCCCTCAGTGGTTTTTGGTGCAGYGCACCCACAGGCGAGGGGCTGAACAGGCTGCTCACAGTGCACAGTGTGAACTGAACTGCGCCACACGAAAATGTAACAAATGTTGCAATTTTGGTCCCCAATCAAACCAAGTCAAGCGTGGAAACACCTTAAATGTTGTTGTTCATGATCTCATGAGTTGTGTTAACTCGGTGTGAGGATGATTTTCATACCGCCATCCCAAATTACAGCTCAATATTTATAAAACTGACAGTTTCAGCCGTTTTATGTGCTGGCTGATGTTAATTAGTGGTGGTAACTGTTTTTAATTGGGTTTAATCCAAAAAGGTAGTCAGTTGTAGATGTTCATCCAGGGATGACTTTCTGAAAAACTCATTTAAATCCTTCCAGGGATTTATGAAATATTTTGCCAACATGATCACAAACTAACAGGCAGAAACCTTATCGCTCCATCTTTGCTTTGAGCAGCAGGCGGTTCTAGTTATTTGTTTAAAGCTGCAGTAAACAAAGTGTTTTGTTTCTATCTTGTGTTTTCAGTTACTGAAGCAGAGAAAATGTGAATCTCCGTTGCCATGCCGATCTATCTTTGGTTTCAGGTACCAAGTGATGGTTGGTCAATATTTATAGACTCTCTGCATGTCGCTTTAATTACGTTTCCCTTTTCTCCTCAACTTTCCATCCACTCCGGAGCACGCTCTGCGTTTGGGGGAAAAACCCGAGACTTTTCTCTCAGCTCCTCTGTGTTTACGTAACGGCAGCTTCTGCGGCTTTTCACGTCGAAGCCTCTGAACCGCGTTTTTTTTTTTTTTTTTTGGGCGCTTTCGCCTCCATCTGGATGCAGCTCTGTTGCAAAGAGCTTCTTTTGTTAAGGCCGGAGAAAATTGGCGCAGCAGCKCGAACGTTATCCCGCCAACACTTGGCTCCGCCGCTTTCCCAGCTGTGGTGGCAGAGTGGCAGCTTGGGACTTGGCCTGTTCAGATGTGTGAAAACAGGCAAAACAAATGAAGACACTTGAATATGTATAGTCTGCCTTAAAGGGGTAGTTCACATAATTTAAAGTGGGATTCTGTGGAGGGCTTGGGAATGAGATTCCAGTCAGAAATTAAAGTTTTAATAATCATTAAATGGGGGATATTTTATCACTGAGAACTGAAAACTTAATTGGTTCTCTTCATATAATTCGGGGTTCCAATTCTTTATAATCTTTATCAGAATCAGAATACTTTATTAATCCCCGAAGGAAATTACAGGCAATACAGCTGCAACCGTTTAGATCAGAGAAATGTGAAAGAAAGAAATAAAATAGAATACAATAAGTATAAACACCCAGGATTAAAAAATAAGCATGCTTATGTACACATAAACAATGTACATTAAAAAAAATAGAAATATTAATAAAATGTGTACAGCATGTAAAGAGAGATGATGTTTGGTACATTGCACGTTTGAATGTCATGGGTAAAATACAGTAAATTAAATATCAAGAAAATAGACTAAAAATAAAAAATGTGCAGGTATCTTACTATAAATGTATCTAGTTTCACATGTTTAGGGAGGAGTTATCGAATTTGATGTGTTCATACCAGAGTTTGACTGGAATCTTATACTGAGAAAGTTCTACATTGTAGCAGTTTTGCGTAAATGTTGTAAATGTTTTGCACAATCAAGATAAAATAAATAAAATATGATAAATAATAATATTATAAATAATATTGTGCTACTGCTTTATTTTCTGATATTTTATTTCTCAAAAATTTTAGATATACCATTTCCGTTTATATGGGCAAGAAAATAAATATCTAAAACTTATCCAGGGACTAATGAATTATTTGTGTACTACTTATTATATTAAAGTATTTAAAGCAGTATTGAATCAAATTGTGAGGTTAGTAATGCCCAGCCTTAATTAGAAGAGCTCTAAAAGTTAATTAGTTGTAGATGTTTATAACCAGAGTTTTATAAAATCTGATCTCTGGTTTTTCAGATATTTTGCTAACAAAGTGACACAGAGCTGTCCTCGACTGCATGTCTGCTCAGTGTCGGGTTCTTCAAACCCCCGGCAGGCTGCAGGAGTGAAAAGAGCTGCTGACCTAACACTGAGTATTTACCCTGAATTATCCCATCAGCTCACCAGTCCTCATGTAGCAAAGGCACACGTAACAAGCGTTAATAATTACACAATACTCCACATGTTTTCCTATTAGCAGCCTAAATCCTTCTCATAGAAGCTGATCGGATGATTAAATTATGTATTTTATACAAGGATTTGCAATTAAGGGAAGAGCTGTGAGGGATTCTTGCTCAGGGGAAATGCTGTTCTGATATTTCAGTAAAAAGGAGGATCTGCTTCATGTGCGGGGCCTAATTAGGATTTCAGACTGATGGCCACATAACGGGGAGAAGACTCTTTGAACGTTTGTTTTYATGAGATCAGTGTTGCAACCATGAAAAGCTACAAAAATCTACAAGTGCGATTTGTGTTTTWATCCATTCTTTGCTCTCATAAGTGCTTCGTTTGAGCATTTCTCTCACTCCAGATGCTAAATTCCCACGGGCTCATGAACCTTAAGCCTATTTTTTATTTTTTTCTTGCCTTCAGGGCGGGCTCTCATGAGACTGACGGACAGAAAGCTGGAACGGATGGGCATCATGCAGGAAGCCCAGAGGCAGCACATCCTGCAGCAGGTCCTGCAGCTTCGTGTCCGAGAGGAAGTCAGGACTCTGCAGCTCCTCACACAAGGTACACTTTTCAGCACAACACCTTGCACCTTCCATTGTTAACGTATATGTCTCTCAATCCATGCATCTCTGGGTTTATTCGCTGTAAATCCAACTAAACTCTCCAAACAAATATACCAATCATTCACAGTAATTATTCACACGCCATCTGCTGTCATGGCAATGGCTGCATATTTTAAAGCCTGCAGGAAGTGATGATTCAGAAGTGATTATGTAACGAAAGAGTTGTGCAGAAATATTTTCTCTCTGTTGTGTGATCACAGACCGGAGGCTGGTAAACACGAGGCTTTTTGGTGTTTAGTTATGTCGTTCTGCATGTTTACCTGCAGGCTGTGAGGTGGATGCAGGCCGGGAGTTTAGGCTGCTTGTGTTGTTGCTGTTGCTTCGTGTTTGTGTTGCTCTAATGAGATCTGGAGCAACGAGTGAACAAGTACGGTCATTTTAGCCACCAAAACTTTTTTTTTTAGGAGCAAAATATTAATGTGAAATTTAGTATACAAGTAAAAAAAAGTTTATCATTAATAAATCAGCAAACAGTTTAATTAGTGACTCATTAATGTCAATAAAATCTAAATGGTTGCTTATAAATCTGTAAAACTGACAGCTGAACATCCTAGTTATTGTTTCTGAGCAGCCTGATGTTTAAACACATCTTTCTTTGACTTCATTAAACAACTGTTGTGTTATAAGGATCAATAGTCTCCGAACACGCAGAGGTTTTGTTTACAATTTATGCCTGTGGTGCAGCAGAGGTTACCCATTTTTCTTAATTTGACTTTTTGTAAGGCGTTTTACCTTTTTTACATTCAGACAAACTAAAAGCTTTTCACAATAAAACTCCGGGGGAACGAAGCAAGCCATGTCCAGAATAAATCAAGCTGCTTTAGAGTCGTTTGTATTCTTTTCTGCTGTTTCCTAAAAACAGATTTGTTCTGTTTTTCCGGGTGGATTATTACTGTGTTTTTAGATTTTTATATAAAAATAAAACTGAGGTCACTGTATGTAGCTAATTAGCTATAATAAATGAAAATAATATAAACAGATTATCGATTTGCGAAAAACAGAAATTACAGCGTTAGTAACAATGAAGTAAAAACCAGACATGTGATGAATATGACTTGCTGATGTTCAAACTGAGCATCAGAATGTGGAAGAAAGAGAATTTAAGTGACTTTGGACATGACAGGATTATTGGCTGGTTTTTTAGAAACTGCTCATCTGCTGGGATTTCTACCACAAATGTAGAATTTAAAGAGAATAATCCAGAAAGGAGGGAATATCCAGTGAGCAGCCAGACCTTGTTGGTGTCAGAGGAGAATAGGCAGGCTGGTTTGAGATGACAGAAAGGCAACTGTGGCTAAAACTCATGCAGACACCACCTGGTTTGAGGATTTCGCCTCCATGGTCACCAGATCTCAGTTCAGCACCTTGCAGATGCAGCTTGCAGAAATCTGTGAAGCTACGATGTTCGTTTGGACTAAAAGACCGTTATTAAAAAACAGAAGCTCGTTCTTTTTTAACGTGTTTTCAGTTTACTGAGGATTTAACAGTGAGAGATGATGTTGTTCTGAAGAATACAGTAGAGTGGTGTAGACTGGTACCCAGAAATCAATAGTAATCTGAACCCTCAAGTACGAGAGAAAAATCTAACATATTACTCAACCAGAACACCACTTTAACAATGTGAGTTATAGAAGAAACACGGCCTAAATGAACAGATGAAGCGTGGAAAGTCATTCCTAACAGACTCCATCATTTTCTTTTTTACATCATGTGAATTCTGTGCCGCTCCTTACCTCCGTTCTTTATTTTTTAATTTTTGCGTAGTGTTTCATGTCTTACGGTTACAGCCAATTTGTGTTGTTTTTCTCCTTCCCACTCTGCAATTCTCAGTTTTCCTCTTCCAGCTTCCCTCAGGAACCTGCACCGACACCACTCCTTCCCTCACATCCGTCTGCACACCCTCTCAGAAATGGAAAAAGTTGCCGCAGGGGCCAAGAGGCAAATTCTGGGGTTTAAAATTCTTGGAAATCATTTTTGGTGTATTTAGGTCCCTCAGAAAGGTGAATATAGGAGGAGAGGATGCTGGGAGTGTTTTTTTTTTTTTTGCTGAGTGATGACACTTTGCTTAGGGCTACCCTCAGCATCCTCAGCCTTTCTTCCTTTCTCTTCATGTCTCATCCTCCCTGCTTTTCCTCTCCTCCTTTTTTGTATTGATGATATGGGAACTGACAGCCCACCCGTTTCAGCAGGAAGCAGCCTTTTAATGGAGCCTATATCTGGGCCTTCAGGGGGGGAATCAGAGAGAAGTTTGATGGATAAAGGAGATGTAAAAATGAAAGAGACAAGATGAAGGGATAGCTATCAGAACACATCTTTATATTATATACATCCATGTTTTGTCAATAATATCAACTGCATTATAGTCTTACAGTGTTAACAAAACAAACCAGCAAACAGTTTTTTGCGTCACAAGCTGTATTATCGATGGTAACGTGCGTCTGAATGGTGAGAAAGTGAGAAAAGGAGTTTTCTAAGCTGTCGCTTTTAGCAGAAGGTAAAAAAATGTAGAATTGGAGAAGATGGTGGAGTGTTTCTAGGCTCACTTCCTTGAGCTGTTGCTGAAGAGCGATCCAGCTGAACTCGGTTGGAAGTAAAGCCGGAGGGAGACGGATGAAGTGAGAAAGTGGCAATGAGCGATTGGTGATGAGATAATGAAGAAAAAAGCAAAGCGGAGGAGGGAGGGAGGGAGGGAGGGTGAGAATAGTGAATTGGGTGCCAATGTGGCAGGATGAGGAAGAACAGAAGAATAAAAAAAAAGGTGAGAAGAGAAACATCTCTTGTGTTTGGAGAGAGGAGGATGGATCGTTGTTTTGGTCGCATGCGAAAAGATGTAAAATAGAGACAGAAAGCCCAGAGGTCACTTTTAAAGTGGACAAATCCTGATTTTAACTCCTTCATTTGGGGTCTATATAAAGAGGAACTGCAATGATTTGGTCTGAATTCCTCCTTGTTGTGGCTCCACAAGCCCCGCCCATTTTCTGAGTTGTCTCAGATCAACACGTTTTGAGGCTGTCTCTTTAAATCCAAACGATCCACTTCCAGACAGGTCCATTCCAGCTTGATAGAGTTTTACGACTATGTAGCAGCACAGAAACRTTTTCTTTCCAAATGAATTAAAAGATGTCAACAAGGGAAGACTTGTCCATCCAGCCTTACATGCTGGAGCCAGAGTCTGACCCAGAGCCAGAGGAGAATTAAGACCACCTAACTGTATTTGGTGAGTCCAGGCCTCATTTGGCCATTCCATTGCAAATAATTTGCTGTAGTAGTTCAGAAAACGTTGTAAAAATAGAGAATGGATTGAAAAATATGACTTAAACAAAATATAGATATCTACTCAGCACCACGAGAGACTAAATTCAAATTTTCTGCACTCCTAGAGACTCCAAGTTCACAACACAATGCATTTAACAGATAAAAAAAGAGGATTTTGCGTATGTCTGCTTTAATGCTATATGAAACAACATGTAACAAGGTCACAGGTTTGATTCCTGCCTGGAGTTTTTCTGAATGGAGTTCACGTGTGGATTCTGATTTCCTCCCACGGACCAAAAACATGCATTTTAGGTTAGTTTATTACTCAAAGTGGTACCTATAGGTGTGAATGATGGTTTGTCTCTGCATCCCTGTGATGGACTTGCGATCTGTCCAGGGTGTCCCCTCCTCTCACACACCGACTGCTGGGGGTGGGCACTAACGACCTGGAAAGCTAAAGCTGGTAAAGAAAATGGAAGGATGAAAGCAGACTGAAACATCATGCTTCTGGTCATATTTGGGAATATTTTTCAATTTTCTCTGGCAATCAATCAGCAGTGATATTACATAACCACATGCTTGAGTCACTATTATTATCTTTAATAACAGAATTATGTGGGCATCTAAAGGCTACAAATCAGCACTTAAATCTCACAAAATGATGTTATGAAACTTCCTTTCACCACTAAATGTGAGCAGTTGTTTTTACCCAGAAAGGGGCGGGGCATAACTCTATATGCTCTGATCTGAACAGTTATTTAGGTAATGATGGATAGTTGGAATGATGGTTATATGACTTAATTTTAGATAAATCTGCCTGGATAATGTTTGCAAAGAGTCAGCGCCATTTGCACAGGTATTTACTTAACGTCTGACAGATTAACAATAAAACCTTTTTGAAATTGAGGCCTCTTTCCAATAAAGGTGGCATTTTAAATATTTGCTATAGGTCAGCATAGGAGAAAGGTGTGACGAGTTGTCAGAGGCAGCAATTTATTTCAGGATAAAAATAGAGGGATGGCGCGAGGGAGGTACACAAAAGGAGGGAAGGGGRAAAAGAGCGAGCAGACGAGACGGCGAGGTGTTGTAATTACTCCAGTGTACCCAGACAGAATTAGCTCAATGGACAGTGATTAACCTTTAAGGCTTGCTGGGCCGCGGGAGGGAAATGATTAGATTCCCCTCGCCCCTCTCGCTGTCTTCACTACAGAGGCGGCGGCGGCTCACCATCACTTATTGCTTATAATCATTAGAAGCAGGCAGAGTTTCTTCAAATAGAAGGAGGAGATCCTAACAACAAAGAGGGAGCTAATAGTGCAGAAAAATATGAGTTTAATGTGTTCCCCATGACTTTAAATCAGCACAGGGATGTTTTCAGAATGAAAAATAAAACTGGAGCAAAATTAGTCCAATTGATGCTGTATTCATTAGAGTTTTTATAGTACCTGTACATGTTTCTATCTCGCTGTGTGATCTGTTTCCTGTTCAGCTTCTACACACACTGATGACCTGATGTCTCCATGAAACAATTTTCTGCTTTCCCTGAAATGTGGCTTTTATTTCCCTGGAAGCTGCGACCCTTTGATATRTGATGTGAAGGTCACTGAAGTATGTTGCAGCTAAAACCACATAGAAACTTTAATGGTGTTTTTGATTGGCGTTCAACCAGTGTGGAAGCAAAAA